CCCGGCACACGAAATGTGAAACATACGAGTTATAGCAAAAACAAATTTACAGCACCTTCATTGTGAAATAAATTTTTTCAGTCCATGAACTAAGGGTCCATAATCCAGGCCTGGGAAAGAAAGGTCCTAAATGGTTTTGAGCTGAAGCCGGCTGCTGTCATCTATACTAGAGCTGCAGCTGGTGATGATGGAATGAATTATTCAATTGGTGCAATTTCATTTAAACCCGTAAGCCCAGCTTGTACAATATTGATAATGCATTAAAAATGCAAGTAAACAAATAATTCTTTTTTTAAATGAGAAAATGCATATTTCATTGTTTATCTATTTTTGGTCATGAGAGGATAGGGGTTATTTTTATTTGTGTTACAAGAATATGGCATCATTTATCTTGGCAACATCACACAGGATGTGTGTCTTCAAACATCTTGTGTGATGAATTAACACACATTTGTGTAATTAAAACTTTTTTATGGCTGATGCTAAGAGAGCTACTAAAGTCATGAAGCTTTAATGTCCATAAGTAATTATAACTTTTAATGGGTTGTTATTTTAGTAAATGGACAGTTTTTTGAGTCTATGCTCCTGTTAACGATTAATTATTGAATTAACTGACAGTTATTTCAATAGGTGATTAATTATCTAAAGCCCTAAAATTAATAGTAATCCAATAAGCATGTAGATAATCAAATGATGCGGTCTAGTTTTGTTTCAACATTGTCACAGCAATGATGCGTTTAAGGACTGAGGGACGAATCAGAGACTGTCTCGATAGTTCTCTGCCTGCAGCAGTGCTCTGCTCGCGCTCCACCAAACATGGCGCCGCCATTTTTATTCAATATACAGGGTGGTCCTGTGGGAAACATCTGGTGCTAGTTGGTACTTGGGCGAACACCAAACAACTGGACATGAGCTTTAGATGAAATTACCTGAACATAGTGTGTACTTTTTTCTTCACAGATCGTCATCATCGAACACAAATCCATCATCTGTCCAGGTTACAACGCGGTCCTTCACATTCACACATGCATTGAAGAAGTGCAAATCACGGTAAGCGCCGGAGTGGGATCAATTCGCTATCAGAATCTGAACTCCCTGCTGACGTCTGCCTCCTGCGCAGGCCTTAATCTGTCTAGTGGACAAGAAGACAGGAGACAAGAGTAAGACGCGGCCGCGGTTCGTCAAACAGGACCAGGTCTGCATCGCCCGCCTGCGTACAGCTGGGACCATTTGCCTCGAGACTTTTAAAGACTTTCCTCAGATGGGACGGTTTACCTTACGGGATGAAGGTAGGCCTGATGCTCTGAGGTAACATCCAGCTACAAGCAGGATGGAGTTGCAGGGAATGATCCCCTCCATAAACAATCACACTACACTGTTCTCATGTGACGTCACAACTTCTGTGAACTTTGTCACTGACAGCCATCTTGGCAGGCAGTTGCTTTGACAACAATAAATCCACAAGCTTAGAACTAGATCTCAGTTCGTTTCTAATTTATAAATGGTATGAGTAAATCACAACTAGTACTCAATTATTCTGTGAAATACGAAGATAAATGCCAGTGACATTTACTGTAGTACTTACTGCCTAATTAGCAAAATTACCTTAGCTAATGTAGCTTTTAGGGTTAGGGTTACCCTAATGCTCAGATAAGAAGCCTATGTTTGTTACTATGTGAGCTCACTCTCACATAGTAACAAATAAAGGAAACTCATTGAATAAAAATGTGTCCAAACTTTTGGTCTGTACTGTATATGTAATTATTTAGTATTAAATTAATGATTTTAATAATTTTGGTACATTTAATTTATTAATGGGAGATTAACTCCTGGTATATTTATTAAATGTTGTCATCCCTCTCTTTCCATAAAGTATGAAACCTTACAGAATACATTTAAATAAATCTCCATTTGTTTAAACTCTTTCCTCATAAATTAAACAGAATCTCTAAAATGTTTGAATAGAAAAAATGAGATGTTTGAATCAAATCCTGGCCCTAAGAATGGGAGTGGACTGTAGCCTAATAGATCCACGTGTGTATAGAAGGAAGTTGATGTGGTTTTTGTTGTGCTGTTGCCAGGTAAGACCATCGCCATCGGTAAGGTTCTGAAGCTGGTGGCTGAGCGGGACTGAAGCGGGCCGAGCGCTCGGGAGTCTTGGTGAGAAGGATCTGGCAGAATTCGCTCACATACTGCCTCTTCTGTCTTCAGCGGTGAAAGCACCTCCCCGTCACGCCCCCTTTGTGCGTGTTGAAGATCAGCTTTGGAAAAATCAACTTGTGAAAAAGCAACCTGTTTTTAAACAAAAGACAACGAATGATTACCACAGGAGTCAGCTTTCTCATATTGAGAGCTCTGTTATGCCATTCTGGGTTAGCCCCTTCCAACTCTCCCATTCCTATTACATTACATGTTTTGCTTTTTTTCTTGAGTTTTTAATTTCTCTTGCTGTCATAGATGACTCTCAGATGGCAGAACATTTATCCATAAACAGATGCGGACCAAGATTTTGCGAATGATTTTCAAATGCAAATGAAATTCTTGGAAAGAACTCGACCATTTGAAAGCAGAAGTGTGTCTTGGTTGTATGTTTTCCCTTTGCTTTTACCCAGTTTTGGTTTCTCATGAGACGTTCTGGCAGTGTGCTTGGGCGTTGATCAAATGTTATTAAAGCATCCAACTGTTCCAATAAAACATTAATTGGGAAAACAAAGTGTGTGTCAGAGCTCACTCCGCCAGCCTGATGTCCGACATTTTTCTCAGATCAACATCCTGGAGAGCTAAAGGAGCTGAAAGCCCCGACTGGTTCCACAAGAGCGCTTTTTATTTAAATGTTTCAATATTCTTTAATTAATGTTAACTCTTTTATGTGTATAATATGAAGTACTAGGGCCATGCTAAAAAAATTTAAAGAAATGATTGAGAGTATAGTCGCATGAGAATAAATTTGACATGAGAACTTGTACAAGAATATTACTTTGACTTTATTCTCGTCTTTCCATATTTTAATTTTGGCACTCAAGATTTTTTTTGTAATTTTATGGCTTTAGTACTGTGTTTTTCATTCTTCTTTCTTAGGATATGGCGGTACTACTTTGTATATGTTAAGGAGTTACTTTTTGTTTTGTTTTCTTGTCAGTGTTCATTTTTTATGTAGCATCACGCTTACACTGCCACCTACAGGCGCAGATGGGATGGTCAACAAGTCGTTCCCTGTCACTAGGAGCATCCTGTCAGTTATTCAGCCAATTAATTAGAATAAAATTGCAAGTTAATTTAGTTTTGTGTCTTGATCAATATTGAAACACATAGATTAGTCCCATCAGAATTGATATTCTAATTCACTCTGACCTTGAGCATTGGCATCAGTGAGCAAATATTTAAGTGTTGCCACTTTGTCTAAAAGAGTAAAGAAATAAAGGAGGAATCATGAGTAATATTAGAAAATGGAAAGATTCTTTACTGGCTGCAGCGTTTAGAGACAGAAATGTCCCGCAGTGACGGGTCCAACATGTTGGGCCAGCAGCGCTGCAGGAAGCAGTGGAGGAGGAAACCACACGGCTCCTGAAGAGCTCTTTGCTCCTGCTCACTAAACGATTCCATCTCTGCATCGTGACGTGACTTCATCCAGCTCCGTTAGAACCTGAGGGTGAATATTTAACCTTCACTCTCCAGCTAACCGTGTGGAAGATTGAGAACTGGAAGCTTCGCATGGAAGCAGTGGACACAGTATGCAAATTCTTCAGATGTCATTTGCCCTGCATCCATCTGCAGATTAAATATTAAGTGCAGGTTCCAGTGAAAGTGGATCAACCAGCAGCTGTTGTATGACTCGCCATCTGAAATCAGTTAAACCACCCAGATGCCCAAATTTTGCAAAGTCCAAAACAGGTGAAGAAAGTATTAGTTCTTTCCTTGCTTTTTGCACATTTGATAAGAAAACTATTTGAAATATTTTCTTTTAGTTAGGTATCTGACATCCTGCAAACCTGCAAATAAATTCCGTCTCTAACTCTAGTTCTTGTTCAGCACCAGAACTTCCTACAGCTCCTTTGCTGTAGGTACCACAGTTTTTGGTAACTCTTTATTAATGACCTAAAATCCCACAGTGGTTGCTGAAATGGCTCGAGTCTGTGAGAAATAACAAAAAGTTACAATCTGCTTTTCAGCAGATTGTATCTGCTGAAAAGCCTAAACACAACTTCACCATAAGGTGACGTTTGATGTTCTGAAACAATGAAGTGTGAAAAAAAGACAATTAGAAAATCAGGAAGGTAGCAAATACTTTTTCCTCTCATATCTTTCACATTTTGTAAAGTTACAGCCACAAACAATTTAGTTGAATCAAATTTACTGAGAGGCTGTTAGACCTTCATTACACAAACCACCACAAGGTGGTCTCACATTCCTGTGAACTTTGCCCTTCTTCAGTCAATAGCTTGTGGATGTTATTTGTAGAAAATGCTATATGCTTGAGATTGAAGTCAAGATTCTTGTTTGGGCCCATAAAGCTGATTCTGATTAAGCACATAGTTTCCAAACTGACCAGAAAATCCCCCCAAAAAACTAGATAATATTACTGATAGTTTTGGAGTGACTTTTCAGTGGATATTTAGTGCAATAATTACATTAAACAAATCTGATATAATAATAATAAAAACCTGCATTCATTATCATATATTTATGGTATAATAATAGTGATAATAATACATTATTGGTTGGTTCTTTATTGCTTGTTTTGTTTGTTTCTTTTTTTTTTTTTTTTTTTTTTTTGCCAAACTCATGCAGAGCTGCAGAGCTGCAGGTTGCATGCAGCCTGGCAGAGGAAGGCCCTTCCCTCCCTCCCTCCCTCCCTCCCTCCCTCCTCCCTCCCTCCCTCCATCCCTCCCTCCCTCCCTCCCGGCCAGGTGCCTGTACAGCAGCGGCCCCTCCTCCTCCTGGCAGCGGACCGCCCCGCCCCTCCTGTAAGGTGTGTCCGCCTGGCGGCCCCGAGCGGGACAGGTTGTCTCACCTTGCAGCCGCTGACACCTGAACATGGAGGCCGAGTACCGGGGTCTGGGCCGCTGCGTGTGCAGCTTCTGGCTGGCCGTCGCCTTTGACGTCGTGGGCCTGACCGTGCTCCTCCTCGGGGTGTTCGTCAACGTCTTCTTCTATGACCTGCTCATCTACGCAGGCGCCATCGTCATCTTCCTCAGCCTCATCTGGTGGGTGTTCTGGTACTCTGGGAACCTCGAGGTTCCCCCGGGGGAGCTGGAGGATGACGTCGGCCTGCTGAAGAAGAAGGGCCCCGCGGGCGGCATCAGCGGCGTGGTGAGGCGGCTCTCCAGCCGCGTCTCCAACGGAATCAGGAACTCTTTCCGCCGGAACGGAGGCCGCGCGAGTCGCGCGCAGAGGTCAGCCGCTGGGACAGCGGAGTCCCGGCAGGGGGGACAGGTGGCCGTTGCCATGGAGACGGTGGTCCCGCAGGAAGGCCCCCCGCACATCGCAGTGTCCCCCGTGGCTGGCGGTGAAGTAGAGATGCCGCACACAACTATGGAGACTTCACCCACATGACAGGCGGACAGGTGAGGCCCAGGTCACACAGCAGGTCAAAGTTCAAGATGTTCTGCCAGCTTTATTGCGCTGAGGACATTTTAACAACAAGGATTACATTTCTCACCATGAATAGCTTCGACACATGCAACACATAAAAACACAGAGAAATAAATCAGCTATAAAAAATGTTCTAATCAAGCATAACTTTGTAAATATAATATTCAATAACTGTTGAATAATGGGAAAAGAGGAAAACATTTCACTCCTTCACCGTTTCTTACCTCTTTATTTTTGGTCTAATTGTTTTGTAGCCCAGTGGTACAAATTTAGAGATGTGCAATAATTTGGTAACAAACCAAATTATCATAAAAACAATGATTTTTATTTTAGGTGCGTTTTTGTTTCTAATTTGAATGATCTTCTTCTAAACCTGGGATAGAATTTGAACAAGGTTTATAAAGTAAGGTCAATTTATTTATAGAGCACAACAACAAGGCAGTTCAAAATGTTTTACATGAATTAGAGGAAATACAACAAAACAACAAACCACAGCAAAAAGCAGAAGAAAAAAGAAAACCAAAAACTATAAACCCATGTTTATACATGAGTAGTTAGTGATTTATAAAGTAGTTGGAGTTTCTGTGGATTCTTGTTCTGATCATGTTGATCTAAGGTAATCATTAGTTTCTCTACATAAACTCAAAGGAGTTTCTCTGGATTTTAAGTTTGTTCCAGTTCCTGCTCTGGGTTGAGTGAAATCTTCTGGATATTTTGTCTAACTAACAGATTTGATTCTTTTTCTGGGTTGAGTATATTAATATATAAACTAAATGTTCCTGTTCTGGGTTGCTAAGCATAAAATGAACAGGTTCTTTATTGGTGTCTACAAAATGTTTTTAATTGACATTAACATGATGAACAGTAACCATGGAAACTAAAGACAAGGCTTAAGATATTATTTAAGATGAAATTGAGAGGAATTTGACTGACAGATTAAAGACACATTATTCCAAGGTAATACTTTGTGTAAACATTAATATGGTCTTTGAAAGTGTGTATCTTTTGATCCAGTCTTAGCTCAAGACTCTTGACAAGACAAGAGGCATGTTTAGGACTTCCCAAGCAGAGCCATTTGTCCCTCTGTCCTGAAGAGACCCCAACCTTGTTTTGCTTGCCGACGCTTCGAGATGTCACCTGAAACGAGTCTCCCTTTAGCCGAGTGCTACAGGAAACCCAGTGCTTCCAAACTGTCCATCGTCTGAACTGAGGAGGATTTACTTCTCTGAATCCACTTTGTGATAATAACTCCTGCTGGTGGGAGCAGCTGGTGTTCGTAACGTGTGTGACCAGGGTTGGATGAGAGGCTGACCTCGCTGATGGCACTGGCCTCAGTGAGATGGAACCGAACCCCCTTTCATTCTCTGTCCTTTGGTTCCAGTTTCTTTGAAAGAGAGTTCAGATGACAAAAAGGGAGGCTTTCCACACCGAGTCTTTGAAAAGACTGGCAAAGGTTTCAGTGTTCCTGGAGCTTGATAGGTTGTATAAACTACAAAGCTAGAAAATAGATTCCACTCCTGGACTGTTTAAACAACTGATCATCCATCCATTGACTTCTGCTCACCTGGAGTCGGGTCATAGGGGCAGCAGCTGAAGTAGAGAGTCTCAGTCTTTCCTCTCCTGAAACTTTGGCCAGAACTTCCTATGAAATTCCACGACGTTCCCAGACCATCAAAGGAACATTGCATGTCCCGCATGTCTTGGGTCTTCCTCTGCATCTTCGTCTGGGTCTTCCTTGGCGCCTCCTACTGGTGGGACGTGCCAGTCCCACCAGTACTCTGGGAACCAGATGCCCACCTCTTGCTCCTCTCGATGTGGAGAAGCAGAGGCTGTGCTCTGAGTTCCTCCTGGTTGACCAAACCTCTCACTCGATGTAATTTATCAGAAGAAGTACATACGGTAGATCGACTCGATGATTTTTATTTTCATTTAGTCATAAATATGAGGTTGATTCTGTTACTGAATTTTTTTCAGTAGACATTCAGTAAATGTTTACTGAAACATTTACTGAAAATGTTAAATCTTGACATTGAATGATGTATAATTACAAATGTGCCCATACATAGCAAATATCTTAAAGCCTTTTTATCAGTTTCTCAGATGAAGGTTAGGTGTATAAGCTTTAATGCACAAATAGGAAGAAAAATCTATTATTTTTGTTTCTGTCAAATTCCAGACTATCATCTCTATGATGTATGTATTCAGTCCTTAGAATAAAAAAAAAAAACAAAAAACAATTTGTCAAAATTAAAATTAGAAAGTTACTACATCAATCTGAATTTAGATGTTCATTAGATTTTTAGATAAAGGAGGATTGCCAGGCTTCAATGACAAACATTAACTGAAATGCATTCTCTCTTTGTTAACGTTACTACCATCGACTTTGCTGTGTATTCTTCATTGCTCAATTTACACATAAAGTTCAGATACTGTATGTCATTGGAATAGAGTCAGCAGCTCTTCATAGGAAATGTAGGATTCTGTTTTCTTGCTCCAAACGATTACTTCATGTTGACCCTCCTACCCCGATCAGATCTGTTTGTTCTCTTTCAGTCAGATGTGGTTTGAATGTGGAACTGAAGGAAACTTCCCGTAGCTTTGAGGCTGTAAAATCTGTTATCACTGGATAACCATTAACCAGCTGAGAGCTCCCTGGCAGACCAGCCCCTAGTTTCAACAATAGCAGCCTGTTTTGAAGCTGGCTCCCAGACCGGTGTAGATGTTCGATCGAACTCTGAAATCCATCCCACCTGAGTTGAACGTTTAACGACCGTTGACTGTTTTTTTCCTCCCCTACAGAGACACGCCCACTTCCTCTCAGCGTTCACCCTGCAGCCATCTGACCAGCAGAACTCAGAGTCTCCAGTTTACTCATGTGAACAACACATTTTATAACTATTTATGCTTTTAGAAGGAAAACGTGTTCATGTATGTCAAATCAACACTGGCAGATACTGACTTAAGACCTTCGTATTGACCTGGGAATGTATTCTTATCGGAATAGCGGCTGAGGTTTTTATGTTTTCCACAACAGATGAAAATTATGGGTTAGAAATGATAACGGGATTTTTTATTTTTGATCAGACTGAAACCTGAGAGATAAAAAGAAACTAAAGTAATGGGGAAACAAACAAACCCAACCTCTTTGCTCATGTTGTTTAAAAATGTGTTGTATTTTATGTGAATGATGTGCAATTTTCACCATTTTTACTCTTAAATCTGACTCAGAGATATTTTCTATTTTTTGTTGGTACTTGATGAACATGTTTGTGAAGATGTTTGTGTTGTGTTTGTTGTCACTGACACCTTCAGATGAAAAATACTTTAATAAAGACAATGCACTACAGTACTATAAATAACCGATCTGAGCTCTGGTGTGGATGGATTACATCATTTTTCATAATGTTTATGACACAGTGGATCTAGTTTTGATAATCAGAGCCTGCAGTCAACCTGCTCATTTGGACTCGACTTTCAGCACATGTTGCTGCTGCTTGTTTAAACTGAGGTTTTGAATCTAGATCACATGTTCACAGCAAAGGTTTGATATGGAGCTGCTTTTGTCACGTTGATCTAATTTGAGTCGAGAACATTTGGCCTCAAACCTGAGCCCAGAGTCGTTTGTTATGCTGAGGGATAACCACGCCTGTGGCTGCAAAACAAGCCTCAGTCTCCAGCCTCCACCACTACGCTAAACCATTTGCTGGATTTGTTTTTTTTTTGTTTTGTTTCTACTATGTGTGCGTTTTGGTCAAACCTCTGTACTATGGTCTCATCCGTCTAAAATACATTCCTCTAGTAGTCTAGAAGAGGCAACAAGCCAGTTCAGTCCTTTTCTCCTGATCATCATCCCTCCTGCCACTGAAGTGCTTATCTTCCCTACTGACATATGAAGATATGCAGCTGCGTAAAACTTTGGAACCTGAAGGTTTTTGTCACTGCATGCAGAAAATCTAAGACATTAGGTAAATCAACTATCGGCTTCCTCTCTAAAAGATGTTTGTACTGATAAACATGCTGCAGTCAAGCTGGCAAGTTCTTCAGATAACACATTATTTGACCACTTGGGGGCGCCGACGAGGCACAAAACTGAAGTTCCAAGAGAGAGTTTGTTTCTGAAACCGTTTCTCATTTCTGTCTATTTTGACCAATATAGCATAAAATGTCATTATCCCAGCATATCTGTAGTTCAACAAACTGTGTTACAACAACTTCAGCATATAGCATTCCACTGTGGCTAACAGAGCTCAGACGGAGCTCTTGGAGTTTTTTGTAAACTTTCTAAGCATTTCATGACCTGACATTGGGTTGAACTGGTTTGCATGTCAGCTCAAGAGAAAATGCTGCTGCTCTGAATATTCTGTCTATACACAACGATGGAAAAGTCCATACAAGCAGTAAGCTGCCAACAACCAAGTGAGTTTGATTAGCAGTACCTCATTATTCTGTGGTTGTATTTTAATTAATGCCACATAATACATAAAAGCTAATGAACATTCCTCCTATAAGTATTGTAATTGCTATTTGCTGTTTTCCTAGTGCAGTTGCACAGGAAGGCCACGTCCAGGCTAACATCAGCATGTTGAACAGGGGGAACTGGTGTCCTTATTCCCATCTGTAGCGATAAGCACCAGTTGGTAACCTTTGGACCCTGATGATGATACTTTTCCATGTTGCTCCTGACTGCAGATTAAAGCTATCAGTAGGAGGAGAGCTGCCTATAAACTACTCACTAAGTATTCACCCCAGTTTTTCCTCCTATGTGGTTTTGGATTTCACTTCCCTGAGAAAACTCTACTTTCTCATGTGTACGGTAGTTACGGTCAAGTGTTTTTATTTGACAGTGGGATTGATTCTCCAAGTGCAACATGAAAGTGGGCGGACATTTAGATGAAAAGAAACTAAAAGCTAAACATGTCGAATATATTTGTATTCAGTTAGTCTCTTTTTAACATCAAGGTTTTACATATATAATATAATATAATATAATATAATATAATATAATATAATATAATATAATATAATATAATATAATATAATATAATATAATATAATATAATATAATATGCATTTCCTAAATTTTCTGTTGGATTTCGGAGGTGAATCAAACGCACCATGGAATATGTTGCATTCAATGTAAACTCGTAAGTTTTATCATCTAACAAATGCAGCCTTTTGTGTTTTACTGAAGTCACTTAAATTTTTCTGTATCTCTTAAAATGTTGTGTTATTATTGCTTCTTTGACAAAGGAAAATGTTTGGCAACAGAAAACTGAGATACGAATCGGTGGCAGCCAGGTTCGATATCTTTGTCTGAGTTTCTCAGCGCGCTCCTCAAAGTTTTTCTAATTCCGAAAAACATGAATGCATCATAAGACTGTCATGTCGGCCCCGGTGAGTAACCTCCTGTTTTAGTTCCTCTCAGAGCTGTAGGACTTTAACTGGAGAAACAATGTTTCCGAACGTGACTTTAACTGGAGAAACAATGTTTCCGAACAGACACGACGGCTAGCAGAGTTAGCCGTGGTTAGCTGACTTCCTTCCGCTCTGGGGGGAAGGAAGTCGGAATCTATGGAAGCTGCACGTGCAGTCGCTAGTAAACAACATGCAGTTTCTCTTGACAACAGGAGGTTGGGTTTGGGGAAAAACACGATTTAAGGCAGAGGTTTCCAGTTCCAGCCTCGGGGCTACTGAACTAAAGCTGAAGGGGCAGTTCCTGCTCCAATAGACTGACTGTGTGAATAACAGACACAGGTTGGTAGTTAGAGCTGTTCAGTTGGATCTGCTGGAAGGCGGAATGGAAGGCAGAGACTCTTCAGTTCTGGAATCGAGGACCATAAGGGAGCGGGCAGGAGTCGACTGTTCCCTCCGTTATAGTCAGACAGAAGAGGAATGTGGAGTATTCACTGCTTAAATGATTATTCATTTATTGTAATCCAATAATTTTCGATTGGAGTGGTTTATACCTTTTCAGCCCGTCAACAGGACGTCCAGCGTGCAGTGATCTTTGTTGACAGATGGCACCAGCGTGGAATACTAAAAATAAAACTGCCAGAAACAGACACTCAACATGACGTCCTAGTCAAAGGAGGGCACAACTGCTCTCAAGTCTCGAGTTTCAGAGATCAGAGCATAAGACTAAGGATTTCCACTAGGGGTCTTCAAGTCTGTTCCTCCAGGGTCCTGCAACTTGTGGACGATTCCCTGGTGGTCCAGCACACCTGAATCAAGCATGCAGTCCAGTTGTCCAGAGTCCTGCTAAGGACACCGGCCCACAGGGTCTAAATTTGAAGACCCCTGCTTATATGATCAGGCTACCTGGACAGTGACAGGCTGTGGAGGTGGCACTGCTGTCATCTGTAAAAGAACATTTTTACGTGAAATGATCGCTTCAAGTACCTACAATTCCTTTGAGTTGATCATGGTCCAAATCAGCAAGATAGAACCAAAGGCTGTTTTGATTTATCGACCAACTGGTCGATAAATCAGATAAAAAGTTTCATCTTTTCTTTTAGACTTTCAGGCCTTTTTATCTTCTACAGTCAAGCTAAATAAGATCTTCATCACTGGGGATTTTAATATTCATGTTGATGACCCTACTTCTCAAGTTGCCAGCAAGTGCAGATGCTTTATTAACAATGTTGTTGCTGGGGAATTTTCTTCCTCTTTTCATTTACAGCTCCCCCCAACGATGACAGAAGGTTAAAACCTTACGGGGCCCGGGCCTTTCACCTGGAGGCCCCAAGGCTGTGGATCACTTTATCCTCGCAGCTTCGTTTTGCTGACTTTGTGGAGGTTTTTAAAAACCAACTAAAAACTTTTTTATTTTTATTTTCCCAGGCTTTTATCTCTTGATTTTGTTGTTTCTTGTGTTGGTTTCATGTTTTTTGTATGGTTTTGAGGTTGATTTCTATTGTACAGCGCTTTAGAAGTTTATGTCTGTGAAAAGCGCTTCATAAAGTAAACTTTACTTACTTGCTTATTTATAAATTATTACATTTTGCCACAAGCTAGAATGGCAAAATGTTTTTTATTTGTGAACAATGGAATAGAGATATCCTTTATGGAAATGTCTGGAAATGGAAACTGCTGTTGCATTTTACTGCAACAGCAGTAAAATGAGAGGAAATCAAAGAAGATTCAAACAAAGATAGAAATATGCAATATATAAAAACAGAGTGAGGAACAAAAATGAAATTTCAACATAAATATGCAGCTGTAAAAAAAACTAGTGTATTCAATCGACTTATAATCTAAGATATGTTTGTGTTATGTGTTGATTTGTCTCTTATGATGTATTTAAAAAGTCATATTTTTTTTTACATGATGCAGAAGTTGGCATCAGTATTGTAGTTTGAATTAAGGGCCTTTTCTGTTTTGAAGAAATCTTCCCTGCCTTAGATCAGCTCCATTTTTAAAATACATCCTAGTCAATACACATTTGGGGTTTTGCTCAGCTAAAGACAAATGACACAGTGTGATTCTTGTGAAACTTTACTTGTGAAAAGCACTCAGTTTTATTTAAGCTATGAAAAATTAATAAATCTGTTGTTAATAGTTGTTCTGTTCATTTTGAGTGGGTGCAGGTTCCAGGAAGCAGATGGTTGGATTTATCCAGACTGTGAGGGATCACCCATGGATCAGATGACCTTTAAACACGACACTGTGCTGTCAGACGTTCACATGCACCGGCCCAAAACACACCACCTGATGACACGCCTCAACAGCGCCGGGCAGCCAGGTGTGTATGACTGCAGCTTTCACTGACTGCTGCCTGTTGGTCAGTGCAGATCTGGCAGACAATTATTTGGAAGATGAAGTTAGTTTAGCACAGTCGCATGGTTACACAGCAGGTTTCACACGACCCAAAGACCAGAGTAAATATTCAGAGGTGTCTTTCCAGGTGTCAGTCAGAAACTAGACACCTGGATTATTAAAAACAGCCGCATGTTTAATCTTACGTTCTGTACACATAACAGCTCCAAATAACAGCACTTGATAATGTGATTCAAGTCCACTTTGCTTTCAGTCCAGTTCTGTTCAATTTGCTCCATTCAAACTAATTCATATAAACCTCAAATTACTTAATGAAGTCAGGAACATTCAGTACATCAATACCCAAATTCAGTTCCACAATGATTTTAAAAAGTAAATCATACACTGTAAAAACACAAAATCTTACCAAGTATCTTAGTCTAGTTTCTAGAGCAACGACTTTAGCACCATTTGAACTAAAATGCACTGGATGAAATCAATTTGATGAGAAAAAGTTTCGCCACAAGAGACATGGACTTGGAAGGAATAACTTGTGAACTGTGCAGTGTTCAGGTCCAGATTTAGGATCTTGGCAGAAAGTTGTGATGACAGTGACTCTGGGACGGATTCAGCAAACGAAGAGAAGCACAAAAGTCCGAGGAGAGACTTAGGAACGTCTCCTGAACAGGATGAGGAGGGAGGTAACCAGGGAAACGTGGAGACACGTTTGGATGAGGACGGAGACCTTGACGTCACACATCGGTATGAGGGATGAAACAACCCAGTTGACATTAAAATGTTGTAAGAAACACAACTTAGAATTCTTGTTTGGCAAAGTTCTAGAGAACAGACATCATTCTTGGATGTTTCTTGGTCATGTACAAAGGTTTGAGAAGGGAAATAAATGTTTTTTAATGAATTTGCATTGTTTAACCGGTCAGCGCTCCAGAAAGCCACATACTCTTAAACATACTCAGCAGTGTACTGGTCCAGTCACCAGTCCAAAGGTTCCATGTACAATTGGAGTGGAAGATGGGTCATTGGTGACCACAGCAGAACATAATAAAGTGCAGACAAACTTGTTCTTGTTAAAGTTTTTGATGACTTTGTTTCCACGTTATAGTTTAAACACATCAGTGGAATTGGAAAAGCATTTAAAGACTGATGGGAAAAGTACTGGAGTCCTTCAGCTGTTCTAAATAGATCTAGTTATGATTTATGTTTATGTCATCAAATCATTTTGAAATGGAACAGAGTCTCAGAATGGAGGATCTTTCTCAATACCTCATTCATCTTGCAAAGGTTATGCATATTTAAGGATAAATCTGTATAATTATGACATGCTTGATGAAGTCTTTGGCCACACACACATTTCTATTCCTTTGATTTCACAGACCACGAAAAAGCTCAGTGGATGAAGGTGGCAGAGACTTGGTCTGCCCCATCATCCTCCAGCAGTCTGACCCTGACCTGGAACAAGATGAGGACAGTGATGATGATGATGATGATGATGATGATGATGATGATGATGATGATGATGATGAAGAGACTTATTGTTCCAAAGATATACTGATTGGTAAGACTGAATTTCAACCAGATGTGTATTGATGTGTGTGAATGTGTTTTTGTTTCTTTTTTCTATAGCTTCATTTGGTAGATATCAAATGTTAAACGATTTTAACAAAAAAGTTTAAATTACGTCATTAATTTTAGATCTTTAGTATGCTTTATTATTTCAATGTATTCATGTTGACCAGACAACAGAAATGACTAAATACTGTCTTACAGAACACACTATGGCTACACCTTTAGAAGATGTTGGCAAACAGGTGAGTAGTGTCCATCCTTGTGTGTCAGTGGTATGTCACTGACTCCACAATCTTTGGTTATTAAAGTATGTAACATTCATAAAAAATATTTTTACATATTAGTTTAAGCTGTTTGTCATGAGGCAGACAATCTGTGAAAAGATGCAAGATCTCCAGGCTTACCCTTACAGTAGCATTTGTTCCAGTTAATGTACTTTTTGTACAATATTGGACATAAAGTACATAACAACTATGTTAGCTTCAGTTGTTACCAAAATGCTGGATATATCCGGAGGCGGGTCTTAGTGCTGTCAATCACCATCTGTGAATTCTAAGGCATAGCCACCAATGACGGTGGATAAATGGTTTTCCTAGTAAGTTGGTTTCTCCGCACATCAAACAGTGACAACATGATGTTGATTGACATCACTAAGCCCCTCCTCCTTGCTCTGATTGGTTGTTTTTGGTTGGTGCATTTCTTCAGATGGTAGTGGAAGAGATGGAGAAGTTGGAGCTTTTCACAGATTATCTGTCTCAGGACATGGTGACAAATATGTAATATATACATATTTTTAGAAAAGTTACATACTGCAGTATTAAACAGAAATGAAGTCAATATGAAAAAGCCACAAGTAAATAAACTAAGTACACCCTTAGTTTAACATTATAACAGAATGAAAAGCTCAAACAAATGTAACTAATGCTGCCCCTTTCAGCAGTTCTGTGTGTCTGGTCAAGTTTGATCCAAAATGACAAATAAAAGGTGTAAGCCAGGTGACAGACGACCTGACCTTTCTGGAAATGTTTTATTTGTCATACTGAACAGTGAGTTGGGTGGAGGGTCGGGTGGAGCTGATGCTTTATGTCCTTTGGGTTGACCCAGGTCTGGCGGGGGGCCCTCCTGCTGGCTGACTTCATCCTCTCTGAGAAAGACACGTTCAGTGGGGCCACCGTCCTGGAGCTGGGAGCAGGGACAGGCTTCACCAGCATCGTCATGGCGACCACAGCCAAAACAGTCTACTGCACAGGTATGAGGCCTTCAGGTGGAGCTGCTCAGAAATGGTGGGAAAAATCAATGTGTTTAGCAAAGTCTCTCGTTGAATGTGTAAACCTGTGTGTATTTAAAAGCTGGAGGTGCATTCCAGATTATCTTTACTTTCCTAGTCGCTTCTCCTCAGTGAGTTAAATCAGATGGAAGGTGTTAGAAGACATGCTGCAGTCTGTAGAAGACATGCTGCAGTCTGTAGAAGACATGCTGCAGTCTGTTGAAGACATGCTGCAGTCTGTAGAAGACATGCTGCAGTCTGTTGAAGACATGCTGCAGTTTGTTGAAGACATGCTGCAGTCTGTTGAAGACATGCTGCAGTCTGTTGAAGACATGCTGCAGTCTGTTGAAGACATGCTGCAGACTGTAGAAGACATGCTGCAGACTGTAGAAGACATGCTGCAGTCTGTAGAAGACATGCTGCAGACTGTAGAAGACATGCTGCAGACTGTAGAAGACATGCTGCAGTCTGTAGAAGACATGCTGCAGACTGTAGAAGACATGCTGCAGTCTGTAGAAGACATGCTGCAGTCTGTAGAAGACATGCTGCAGTCTGTAGAAGACATGCTGCAGTCTGTAGAAGACATGCTGCAGTCTGTAGAAGACATGCTGCAGTCTGTAGAAGACATGCTGCAGCCTGTTCAAGACATGCTGCAGTCTGTTGAAGACATGCTGCAGCCTGTTGAAGACATGCTGCAGTCTGTAGAAGACATGCTGCAGTCTGTTGAAGACATGCTGCAGTCTGTAGAAGACATGCTGCAGTCTGTTGAAGACATGCTGCAGTCTGTAGAAGACATGCTGCAGTCTGTAGAAGACATGCTGCAGCCTGTAGAAGACATGCTGCAGCTGTTAAAGACATGCTGCAGTCTGTTGAAGACATGCTGCAGCCTGTTGAAGACATGCTGCAGTCTGTAGAAGACATGCTGCAGTCTGTAGAAGACATGCTGCAGCTGTTAAGACATGCTGCAGTCTGTTGAAGACATGCTGCAGCCTGTTGAAGACATGCTGCAGTCTGTTGAAGACATGCTGCAGTCTGTTGAAGACATGCTGCAGTCTGTTGAAGACATGCTGCAGTCTGTAGAAGACATGCTGCAGTCTGTTGAAGACATGCTGCAGTCTGTAGAAGACATGCTGCAGTCTGTAGAAGACATGCTGCAGCCTGTAGAAGACATGCTGCAGCCTGTTAAAGACATGCTGCAGTCTGTTGAAGACATGCTGCAGCCTGTTGAAGACATGCTGCAGTCTGTTGAAGACATGCTGCAGCTGTTGAAGACATGCTGCAGCCTGTTAAAGACATGCTGCAGTCTGTTGAAGACATGCTGCAGTCTGTTAAAGACATGCTGCAGTCTGTTGAAGACATGCTGCAGTCTGTTAAAGACATGCTGCAGCCTGTTAAAGACATGCTGCAGTCTGTTGAAGACATGCTGCAGTCTGTTGAAGACATGCTGCAGCCTGTAGAAGACATGCTGCAGCCTGTAGAAGACATGCTGCAGCCTGTTAAAGACATGCTGCAGTCTGTTGAAGACATGCTGCAGCCTGTTGAAGACATGCTGCAGTCTGTTGAAGACATGCTGCAGCCTGTTGAAGACATGCTGCAGCCTGTTAAAGACATGCTGCAGTCTGTTGAAGACATGCTGCAGTCTGTTAAAGACATGCTGCAGTTTGTTGAAGACATGCTGCAGCCTGTAGAAGACATGCTGCAGTCTGTTGAAGACATGCTGCAGTCTGTTGAAGACATGCTGCAGCCTGTTGAAGACATGCTGCAGTCTGTAGAAGACATGCTGCAGCCTGTTGAAGACATGCTGCAGTCTGTAGAAGACATGCTGCAGTCTGTAGAAGACATGCTGCAGTCTGTAGAAGACATGCTGCAGCCTGTAGAAGACATGCTGCAGCCTGTTGAAGACATGCTGCAGTCTGTAGAAGACATGCTGCAGTCTGTAGAAGACATGCTGCAGTCTGTCCGCGCTGATGCTGAATGTGTTTTCCAGACGTGGGTGAAGACCTCCTCAGGTTGTGCCACAGGAACGTGTTTCTGAATCAACACTTGACAAAACCAGCAGGTCAGAATGTTCACATTTCCACTTTTCTCTTTTGTAGTCGAGCGCATAGTTTTATATCATTGCCAAAATGATAGATGTATTAATATTATAATATTAATATTAATATCTTATTAATAAGATACTTTCTGCCTCCTGCTCTATTGGTAGGTTAAAATAACTTTCATTCTCATTCAGTTTTTGACCAAAGTGAAATTTCTTGTTGGCTCTGCATTGGGATCCAGCTGTGAATCTAAAAACTCTAACAAATTTTTATTAAAGTTTTATGTCAATTAGAACATTTTTAATCTGAATTTTTTTCATATATTTTTTACATGTTCAATATTTATTTCACCCAAAAAGTAAAATCCAAGGTTTGGCCTATTTAAGAAAAAAAAAAACAAACAAAAAAATCTACATTTAGAGTTACAACTACTGAATAAGAACTGTGACATATATTCACTTTGGACCATATAAGCTTATAAACTGACCGCAAAGCTTTAATGCTTCTTATAATTCGGGTCATTCCAGGCAGGATGAGAAGTTGGTTTTGACTGACATTTGGCTTTACAACTTTATTTTGAAGGGATTTGAGGAAAAGATTACAAGGTCAAACTCGAGGAAGCCAGGGTTGGAATGTGGTGAACGGAGCAGTGGTTCTCTACCTCGGTTCTGATTCAGATCCGTCTCTGGTTCATCCGCTGCTGCAGGCGCCTGTTCATGTCCTGCTTCCTGTGGCAGCAGAGGAACACCTAAAACCTGCCGGGTCGACGTAGTTCACTGGAGCTGTGTTTTAACTGTTATCTGAGAAGATGTTAAATTTGACCTCAAGCACCACGACTCTCATCTGCCTTCTCTTAGCTTCTTCATGCTGGACAGCAGCAGCTTGCATTCATGTATTTTTTCCACCCATCAGGTGGGGAGGTGAAGGTAAAAGAACTCAACTGGCTTCAGCAAAGTCTTTGCACAGGTAACACCCCGTCTGCTTCTTCTCTTAGATATTAAGCATGCTAGTCAGTTCATAACCCATATTTTAATGCCGAACAGCACTGAAGTTACCAGACAGACTTTTTGCACAAATACTAAAAATAAAAATAAGACACTACTGGACTGAACCCCATTGAAAACCTCATTGTTATTCCACCAAATATTTATCCTGAACTCTTCCTGAGTTCAGACATTAGTGTTGTTTCTAAATGACGATTTTAGCATTATTTTACATTACATGAGGTCTGAAAGCACGGCGTCTTTTGTCGTAATTTTGACCATTTCTCATTTTCTGCAAATAAGTTCTACATTTCTGGCATGTCGTCAGAACAATGTTCAGTTCACTCAAACAGATTTGATTAGAATGATGTGCTGCAGCGTCTCTCCACCAGTCACCTGCTCTTCCTCTCTGCTTGTGTAGATGCCGATCTGGAGTTCAGCTGGACTGAAGAGGAAGTCGCTGATCTTTATGACAACACCAACTTCATCATTGCAGCTGATGGTAGGTTTGCAGTTCTAATGAAAATAAAATCAACTTTCCATTTCTTTGCTCATTTCGATGTTTGTTTGAACCAAGTACATTGCACAGGCATGATGAGGCCAGTGACTGGATGGCAGGTGCAGTTATCATGAGATATAATCACCAGATGCAAATGAATTGCAAAAGGTTCAATCGGTGAAAAAAACCAAACAAACATTAAATCTGTGTTTTCCTCTACCTACTCATTTTCAGACCAGGTAGTGGTGCATGGAGGTCAAGTTCAAGTTTATTTTTTTTTTAAATGGGACGATTCTCATACAGGAACATTTACATGTAATACATGAGGTTATAACCAGGTGGATAATTTCCATCTCTAGTCTCATTGGCAGGTTGATTTTAAAGCACAATAATAAATACAGGATTAAAAAACACAAAAGAACAGAACAGAATTAGAAATACTCAAGACAACAATCCTGGCAAGAAGTCATTATGTCTAATATGTTTTCATTTGCCTCCATGTTTTATTCTAAGTGAAAGATGATCGACTGATTTCATTTTTTTTTCATTTGTCATCATTGAAGCTGCACAGAACATCAGACCGAACTAATGTTTCCATATCTGTGTCTCCAGTTTGCTATGACGACGATCTGACAGACGGCCTCTTCAGGACTCTGTACCGACTCTGCAGCAGCTTTCATTACTCCTGCACAGTTTTCATTTCTTTAGAGAAAAGGTAAAGAAAAGCCATCTTTCACTGTGTGTTCACCTAAAGCAACAGTTCAGACTGCCAGCTTTGTAGAGCCGCGCCTCCAAATACGTGACATTGTAACTGCAGGAAAAGGAGGCGCAGTAGAGTTAGTCTCAGTCTTAGGACACACTTCAGACTTTAACTATAATAACATTTGAAAACTCCATTTCACGTTCATGCTCTTCTTTTAATTTCCGTCACAAGAGATTCCAACAAAGTGTGCCGAAACTTGATGCGCTTCAAATGAGTTTAGTGCCATCTTGCACTAAAATCTTAAAGTCAAGTACACACACTTCAGTTTGATCCTGGTCATGTTCAGTTGATTATTAGTTTATGTCTGAGGAAACCCAGCAGATTGCATAAAGTGCAGCATTCACTCCTCCAACAACCGTCAGTCTGGTGCATGTTCAGTCAAAACCAGAAATCTATACTATATAAAAAGACACGCATTTTTTCACACTTAATTGACCTGAGACAGGAAAAGTTCATTCTGATTTCACATCAGACTCTGTGAACTAAGTATAAATATCATCAGTATAAGAAAGGAATCCCATGCTCTGTGATTATTATACCATAGATGGTAAAGAGAATGGTCCAAGCGCAGAGCCCTGTGGTGCTCCAGGATTTGGCCGTCATTTTCTTCCTTTCTGTCTTACAGGATGAACTTCAGTCTGCGCCACATGGACATTTGCTGTGAGGCCTACAATCATTTTAAGCACTGTCTGTCCCAGCTGCAGGACATGGAGGACGGCCGGTGCAGATTCAAAGTGGAACACGTTCCTTTAAACTTCTCACAGTCTCTTCTATATGAACGTATTGAGCAGCTGGTGAGAAAAACTGTTACACCCACAGCTTCAGCTCACTGGTTTTGTGTATTTAACCCATCTCTCTCCTAAACAAAGCTCCAGCTGCCACTAGCTGTTCTATCCTGTTTTCATCCCATACGTCGCACGACATGCTCAGTTTATCTGTCTCTCTGCTAGATGAAACCATTACAGCTGCTAATGCTGCCATTAGCTCTTTGTTTTTTCCTCAACAGAAAGAACTTCTGGATCCAGTTTTCTCTGTTTGTGTGTGAATCCATCCATTATTTTGTTTTAAACATGAATGATTTTTTTTCATAGCAGTATTATTTTTAACTCGGAACGACAGTAGTTGTGAATTTGTGCTCTATAAACAACTGGATTAATATGGATATTTTTTGCTGTTATTAGAAAATATGTTGTCTTGTTATTACAGCGTCTTTTATGCAGCGAAACAAGGCATTTACTTACAAAAGTTTAGATATAGAAATAAAAAGAGTACATTTCAGACAAGAAAAGATCTCAGAAATTTTCTAGGAAAAAAGTTTGAACAGTGGAAAATTTGCTAGGAAACAAATCTGAAATATGAGATTAACCTCAGAAAATTTTGAGCTTCAATAGCTAAGTTTTTGGCAGAACTCCCTCCCTCCCCCTTTTTATCTACAACGGCCGTCAGACTGGTTTTTGAAAAACACTTCTTGTTTTTGCAGGAGCTGTGGAAGATCACTGCCTCTTCTCTTGAATCGGAACCAACCCAGTCGGACTCTGACTGAGAAGATCAGCTGCTGACATTTCAGCTGACCACAGACTACCTGCTGGACGCTCCAAAAACCCACTCTGTTACTGATCTGTGAATGAACCATTGCTGACCCTCTGGTTTGGTGGGAGGCTGTTCAGCCACAAAACAGCCTGCTTCTGTTGAGGAACGTTACGCTGGTTGATGCTGCAGGTCGTGTGAATCATCATCAGTCTGCCAGATGTGGAGGAGGCTGATGGATCCTGTATGCCTGACCAGATTCCACCTTGTTGACATTCCTTTACTTTCCTACAAACTTCATGATGAGACGTCTGTCTGCTGCTCAGAGGAACTGTTACTGATTATAACCTCAGAGGTTTATTGCTCTGAATAAGAACTAAATATTTCCATGTAACAAGCAGCGGCTCTGATTATCATCATGGGACAATCTTCACATATTTTATTTATTTTAGTTAGTTTTTAGTGCTGTGTAGTTGGTAATAATCCCTTTATGCTCTTTGATTTAACAGAATCCCCCCCAAAAATAATCAGATCTCAGTGACCTCATTGGTGACATCAGCTGTTGCAGTTTTTATCAGCTGAGCTTCTCATTCGGTTCACACAGGTCCTTTGAGAATAGAGCTCAACTGTGTAACAATGGGAAATAGAAAAATAACTGTTAATATTTAAAGTAAGGAGTATTTGGGAGACTAGGATGTTTGAATCCAAGAAAGCTGAAAAGGAGTCAAAAGTTCTTGTTGCTTATGGAACTCACCATGAAGATTTCATTTTAAAAGAAGTTGAAATATTTTTTATATTTTATATATATATATATATTATATATATATATATATATATATATATATATATATATATATATATATATATATATATATATATATATATATATATATATATATACAAAATATGTGGCTGTGCATTGAAGCTATACGAAATAAATGACAAAAAATATTTGAATTTTCAGAGCGTTGCCTGTAACTTAGCAGTAAGCCCATCACTCTGCAGTGTCTCACTCCTTCACATGGAATATTTTGGAATTTTACAGGGAAAGGACCAGAAATGAAACACATCCTCAATAGAGAGAGAATATTCATTCTATATTTATTAACACAAAGTAGGTCTCAGTAGTTTCACAAAGGAAAATAAATAGCTGTAAACTTGTTACATACTTTAGAATTGACTTTTTTATTATTATTAATTAACTAGAGTCCTGACAGTGAGCACTGAGCGGAGGAGATGGAGGCGGTCCACCAGCATCACTACGTTTCCGTTCCAGGTTATTGTTATAAAACACATTAAGAAGAAACAACATGTGGCCTGGAATCCATTAATTGGCTACAACTTCATCAGGCATCTTCAAGTTTCACTAAGCAGGATGAAGAGGAATGTCAGTGGATTCACCTCCAGTGTGTGGATCGAAAAGGTTATAATGCAGGAAAGAACTGAAGGACTCCTGATTCCAGAACCTGGGAGTTCTAAAAGCAGATCTCCACTAACTGAGCATTTAAGTTGCTCTGTTTTCGCCAGAGGGGAACGGCGGCCATGTTGGACCCTCTCCATGCATCACATCATGATAGATCACAGTAGAAAAAGCAGCTTTTTAACTTCACATGTCAACTTCATTTCACCTTTCCAAACCTCTCCCAGTAAGGAATGGATCTAATGTCCTGCGCTCCTGATAGGCTCCGCCCCCTTCCCACCTGCTGCTCTGGTCAGTGGGCCGTAACCGGTGTTGGATGGATGGGTGGGGTTATAGTGGCGGCGGGTGGTGTGTGCTCTGGAGTTTGAAAGAAGTATAGCTGGGAAGAAAAAAAATTAAAAATGAGGATTTTCAGCAGTTTGATGTGATCAATAGCTGTGTTTCCATTACAAATGTGTGCAAATCTCTTCTGCTAATGCTGAAAAACAAAAAAAAAGATAAATTGCAGTGTTTCCATTAAATAACAAATGACATTAAAATTACATGTGAATAAGCTTGTTCACATGATAAGTCATGTCCACCACTGAGCTCATCTACCTTACAGCCGATGGCCAGCAGAGTGTGCAACACCACAATGGTCACCACTGTGGCCACCGCTGTCACTCTGGTGTCGTCCCGGACAACGGGCCAGAAGGTGAGGACCAGGACGGAGCCAGAGATCACCATGGCAACGACGATGAGCGTCCATCGCAGCCACTCGTATGATATGATCCACAGGATCTGGAGGTGAGGAGATGCGAGGCGTTACGACCAGCGGCTGGACCAGCTGTCCTCTGGTCAAACTTTCGACACGAGTCCAGTTCCAAAGTTATTCAGACAAAATCAGATTCATATTCATCACAACCACTGACTTTCCTGTGTTTTACAAAGAAGTGTAAATCTCTGTGCAGCCGTGGAGACGAAAGATAATATCATCTCCTTTTAGAAGAAATGTTTTACACAAAAAATTCTGAAAAGTGTGGCATGCTCTCTTTACTGTGACACCCCAGAATAATAGGAACCTAATTAGTAAAAAGTCCATCAGGTGGAGAGTCTGTTGTCAGGACAACCATCACATCTGGCCATTCAGAACAGAGATCAGGAAGCCAGACTGACTCCAGGTTGACATGGAGACAGCTTTGACCAACTGAACCCTCTGAAAACTAACACTGCACACCACCCTGAACACACCACCCTGAACACACCACCCTGAACACACCATCCCCGCATGGCGGTGGTAGCGTTATGCTGTGGGGATGGCCGTCTTCGGCAGGACTGGGATGGAGGTTTATAACAGTTTAGGTCAAAGCACTTTAAGGTGTTCGAATGGCATAGTCAAAGTACAGACCTAAGTCTAACTGGGATGTTTTTTCTAGGAAGAATTAGAAAACTGACGTTCAGACGTCAGATCCAATTTGACTGAACTTATAGATGTGCAAAACTGGTAAAAACAGACCCAGATCACCTGCTGGTCCGACACTTTACTCAGATAAATGCATGCCACACTTTTCAGATTTTTATTTGGGGAATTGTAATTGTTTTTGACCTACTATAAAAATTGCTGTAGCACATACTTCTCTGTGAAGAGAAGCCTGAAGCAGATTCAGCAGGATGCACTCACTGATGTCGGGATGTAGATGAAGAGCGAGTATCCGTAGACGCACACCGTCTCCAGGAAGGAGTAACCTCCGACCTGTCGCTCGGAGTCCTGTCTCCAGGTCAAGAACGCCCACAGACCAATCGGCACCAGCCAGGCATACAGGAAGATCACCACCGCAGCTATGGTAACTGCAGCCAGACAGATCAGAGTGAGCGCTGAGTGGGGGGCACCAGGGAGGTCGTGAGGTTAGAGACTGACCCCTGTGGAACTGCGGCCTGTGGTGGGAACTGGGGTCGCCGAGCGAACTGAGGAAGGTGGACATGTTCCCACTGATGGCCACCGAGAACACCAAGGTCACACAGATCCAAAACGGCCCTGCACAACACACACACACACACACACACACACACACACACACACACACACACACACACACACACACACACAGATTCAAAAGAGATCATTTATACTCTCTTCTGATTCCTCCGTACTTCATAATGTTCTCTAAGACAAGAGCCATTTCTGTGCACCATCCAGTTAAACATGCCTACAAATGTCACATAAGCTGTTGAATGAAAACCTCTTATATTTTTAGGATAAATGTTCACTTTAGAATTTTTTAAAAAATATATTAAATATATTTTTTAAGAAACACTTTTTGCTACTTTTGAATGAAGAAAAATATGAAACTTTTGCCAGTAAAATACATTTTCTTCAATGGGATGTTGATTATTGTAGAAACTTTTATAAAAGTATAAATATTTTAGTGTCACTGAGGAAATGCAATGTGATTATTTCTGAAAACAATGACAATAAAAAGCTAAAATATTATATATTGTTAATCCATTAATATTTACAAACATTAGTTAGTGCTACATCATGTTCATTCAGTTGTTCGGAGTCATTCTGGATGGTGTAAACCTCTGAGTGGAACCTGGGCAGCGTGTGTTCGGAGGTGAGCTAGCTAACTCACCATACAGGTCTGGGTTATTCCTCAGGTAGTGCTTGACAAAGTTTCTTCCTGGTAGCGGCATCAGAGAGCCCTTCACTCTGTCCAACACCTGCATCATGATGAGACGGGGGAACCAAGGCAAACATTAGCATTAGCCTCCTATCAGACTCTAGCTGTGTTCAGAAGGTATTTACAGAGAGGGTGTGAGGCGTGTTTGTCAGTTAGCTCCTACCTGCTCTGTGTCCACATTAAATAAAGACTGATAATATTCAAAAGTCCAGAAGCCACCAACTGATTTCTGTCCTCCTAAAAGCTGAAATACAGAAACGGCAGTCAGCTGGTGTCTAGTCCAAACACCCAGAGGTCAATCTGTGTTTGAGTGATTTAAAGAGTATAACCTCTGAACTCTCCTCCTGAGCAGCCTCATCCTCAGACAGGTCTAGTCTTACATCCTCCCCAGCTGCTGGAGCTCCGGCTGTGGCTGCGGGGTCGTTGGTTGCAGACATACTGAGTGTGGGGGCCCCGGGGTCAGCAGACAGGAGATCGGCTGCTTCTTCAAACTCTACATATAAAGAAGGGCAAAAACTGATGAAGACCGCAATGATTATTATTTAAAAAATCCCAATGAAATAAAGTAAAAGTCTCGTTTAATGTAAAAATGCTGAAGGGTTTTGCAGTTTGTGCACTGTACTATTTAATCGGAAACAAACAGCTGTTCCTACAGTAGAACATTTATTACCAAGAAGAACTGTTACAAGAACGAACAAAAACAAACAAACAAACAAAAAAAAAAAAAAAAAAAACTCGTACGTTTTAAGCTAAGTTGGTATTTTTTAAAACCAAACGTAAAACTGTTAGTCTGGCATTCCGTCCATCTGGTCTCAATAGAGCTGCAATCCTCCAATCTCACCAGCAGATGTCGCCATTTACATAACAGCCTATTCTGCCAAACAGTGGACAGGTTTGACAAGCAGATGGTGATAATAAATGTAATATATTGTTTGTCATTTAACTTCTATATGTTCATTACCTGTCTTCACTGCAAGGCTGAAAAACATGCTGGAGGAGAAACATACAGAGAGCGGCCATATTTACCCTGGAACTGCAGGTCATTTGGAGTGGCCATCGCTCGTTTACACGAGACAAAGCAGCTTCATGCAGAACCTAAAAGAAGGAGCGATCAGAAAATATTCCAGATGACGGGTCTCACACTTAACATAAATGAACTCATTTCAGTGACAACGGGAATAAAATAAATCATTAAAATACCTTCACATCACCACTGAAAGCTAAGACTTATACAATGAAATAAACCAACTTCAAACGTGTTGGAACCGCTCTGCAGCAGCTCACCTTCGCATTAAAATGTTTCACCTCAGGGGGGAAGCTTCTCTCTCGACTGAGCGGTCCCGGGGGATGGGGGTTCACAAAACCTGCAGCACCGCTATCTTCACACGGGTCTACAGCCGGAGCTCTTCCGGCACACGTCACCACGTAAACAAAGCCGTCACGTGAACTTTATTTAAAAACACATTTTAAAATAATATATTTTTCAACAGCAGAACGTGTATTTCTAGTATCTCTGAACATAGACCGATTGCATAAATCGTGTATTTATGCATAAATGTATTTTTCTCTTTATTTTCCTCTTCATTTAAGCGGAACATTTTTGACACTATTCCTTGCTGACGGAAGACCAAACCCGGGGCACCCGGTCCGCGCCATTTTGCTTCCATGTGAGCTCGCGGCTGCTTGCAGTGCTGGCTGC